AAATCAGTTAGGTTACTTATTCCCCAGAAATCAGCTTACAAAGGCTGCATCTGTTGTCGGTCAGTCTTTCTGAGTTCGCCGACACAAATTTTCGTAAAGAAAAATGTGCCCCACATAACCAACAGGAACCAAGCACTGCTTAACAACAACTTAGGAAAATTTCTGAAGTTAATGAATTGTTACTGTTCATGTATTACAAAAGTAGTGTTATTACTTCACCAGATGTGATAGATTTTCGAGAAGACCCCTGTTCAACAATGTATTGTGCTGACAAAACGTGTGGAAACAATTTAACACAGCCTAGAGCCAAGTCTTGGACAAGGACCAAACAAAATTGTTTCACGCCCTATTTTGGTAGCAGGCAGTTGTTGCCAGGACATTGATCAAATGAGCAACAGACTAATAATGCTTTAACTTGAACACCATTAAAACATCAACATTAGTGGTGAAAATCAACATCGTGCTAGAGAAAAAACAAGGAGGAACTCTGATTCAGCAATAAAGCAGTCCAGAAAAAAGATGACCAGCATAATTAACGATACAGTAATAATACTGAAAGTAATAAACTCAGAATAACTTGTAGTATGGCTTCATTTAAAAATAAACTGGTTGGAGAATAAAACAAACATTTTACAATACTTAGGGGTGATTCTAAGTTGCAAAGAATTGCTGCAAAAATTTAAACACATTAAGAGTGGAGGCGTGTATTCAATTGAAGAAACTTTTCTTCAGGAAACCGAAATTAATGATTGTGAAACAATGCTGTGATAGGCATGAGCGAATGTATCCAATGTATGATGTAATGATAACTTTGAGTATTCCTGAGTTTCTTTAATAGAAAATTAATCATTTGTGAATTTGTGATGATTCAAACAAACTTTAAAATAATTTTCCATGAATCCCCAAATCAAATAACTTTTCCTGTAGCAAAACGTTTCCAGTGGTTACCCCTTGTCCTGGGGACAAGATCAAATTTATAAGCAATGCTTGTGTTTCATGGAGCCTGGTAGGTTATGGGAAATGTTTATAAAGAAATGATCAACAAATAAACAGAGCAAAACAACAGATCGAATGATGAATGACGGCCAAATTATAGGATTTCTGGTTAAGATCTGTAAACATTTTTCTAAATTCCCAAACTAATGAAAGAATAAGACAACGCAAGATTCTTTTCAATAAGCAATCATTTGATTTTTTAGATCAACCCTTTATCTTCTGTACAAAAGATTTAATATTTCTCTCACCCTCCTCAGTGTCCGGGCTAGCAATGAGATTGCACCAGACAGTCCTAGATGGCCTACATGCAGTGGAGACGGCCATACATGATCCAGGCCGATCGGCTGGGCAAAAAGTCATGGTCATAAATTTTGCTGAGCGTGTTAGCTATCGACCGGTCATCAAACAAATTTCACTGCTAAGAGGGAGAGAGAGAGAAGAAACTTCCCTGTCAAATGGCCAGTGGCTTCCTTTGCTGACAGTGTAAATGGTACATCTCCTTTTTTTTTGGACACACTGCCACTGCAACAATCACACTTTCAACAAGAAAGAGTAAGCAAGAAAAATAAATCTGGCCCAGTTTGGTCAAAATAGACTAACGAGAGCTAATGTGCTTCAGGAAGCACGGATATACATGTATCAGCTGTGAACAGCTTTTGGAAATGTTGAAGGTGCACATAAGGTGACTACTGGCAAGTCCGGCTTAAACATCTTCATTGCTCCTGCCTACTTGTATGCAAATCATGTATAGTCTTGTTCAGGAAATGGACTTTGCACAAAATTCTCTACATTTTAGAGGTACAGACCAGATCCAATTTTTCCGTCATTGCACACGTGAGTGTCATGGACACAGCAGTAGTAGTATCAGTGAATCAGTCTATTAATAGTAGAACATGTACATGTACTAGTACATGGGCAACACATGTCGGCCAGTGGCCCGATTAGCATAATGTGCATTGTGGGCAACACAGGTGGGTCAGTGGCCGGTTAGGGTGACATGTGTGTGTGCTGCTGTGTGCACAGTTACAAAATGTACATTGAGGCTACGTACATGTACTGTACATATACATCACAGCTCTCGGCTGAATAATTTGGTAGGCCTATGTTAATATGTTTGATCTAAATTGAGTGACCTCCACAGACCACCATGTGATCACTGGCCGAATTCTGTGTAAACCATACATAACGCTTGCTGCAGAGATGAAACGATCAAGTTTTACATTTGGACAACCTATAGAAGAACTTTTTTTTAAATGACCCCCACTGACCATTAGGTGACCATCGGTCAAATTCTGTTAACCACCCACATGGTGTTTCCTGCAAAGATGTAACCACCGCAATTTGAGATCAATTGAATCTTGACTTGGGTGAGAAAAGTTATTTTGTATTTTTAACGCAAATAATCACTAGTGATCACTTGACCAGCATATAGGGTCAAGGTGTCACACCTTGACCCTATATGCTGGTCAAGTATGACAGGAATCGTGTCAAGGAAGATTATGTTCATACATGTATGTGGCTAAAATCGGCAAAGGAAGGTGGCAGATACCGATAGATATAACAAAACTTGAATATTCAACCATGCAATGAAAGAACATGATCCCTGATGACCACTAAGTGACCACTGGCCAAATTCTGTGAAAAACTTTTATGAGGTTTTGTCCAGACATGCCACTGTTCAAGTTAGACAATAATTGGACCGAGGTTGTGGAATAAGAAGCATCTTGTAATTTTGAAGAAAATGACCACTAGGTGACCACTGACCTAACATGCTGGTCACTACACATGAGACTCTGGCCAAGCTAGATTATGTCCAAATTTGGCTGAAGTCAGTAAATGAATTTGATAGATAGATAGATACATGTATTGCATTTTTTGTGAGCATTTGCCCGAAGAATGTTGACGATTACACTGTACATGTATCAGCATGCTTTGCACAGCTGGTATAGAAATGTCTGTAAAGGTCTGTAAAGTACCAGATCCAAAGTGTAATCCTTAAAGCTCTCTATTGTTAGAAAACATCACCCAGGAGTGGTGTTCATCAAACCACAAGCCATTTAGCTAGTGACTCCCTATCGTTGCCCGCTTTACTCTGAAGTGGGTAAGGAGCTTATCGTTTATGTATCGTTTCCCACTTCATGAACCGTTTCTATTTTGACTTGGTGCCTTACCTATGGAAGAGATTACGGGGCGTGACGAGGTTGCTAGTGGTGGATACAGCTGGGCGCTGATGGGAACGGGGTCCAGCAGGTCAGTGAGGTGTGTCAGTTGGGCATAGGTTGGGGCAGGGTGAGGTGGCCGGGGGTAAAGGAGACCCATAGGGGGGAATTTGGGGCACCTTGAGTTGGAAGGACGTAGCTGCCGGTAGAGTGGTTCTGTGATGTTACTGGAATGCTGGAGGGATAGGAGCTTCTGCTGCAGCTTTCTCTCAATTGATGTTGTAGGATCCCTGCGGAGCTCCTGGTAGTCGTCCAAGTCGGGTATGTCTGAGACCTTGCGGTCATACTCAACTCTGGCCATGAATACCGTAGCATTGCCTTTGTCAGCAGGGAGGATATGGATGGTCTTGTCTTGGCGTAGAGACTTGATGGCTGACTGATCTTCTCTGGAGATGCTTGGCTTGGGGTTCTGCTTCCAGAGGGCTTGGTTGATCTTGAGACGGATCTCATTGGCAGTGGACTTGTCAGGGCAACGGAGAGTGGGCTCGGTGGCTTGGATAATCTCTTCCGTAGCGCGAAGTTCAGGCCCAGGGCAAGAACTTTCTCCTTGCTGGAGGAGAGGGTGTGTTTACTCATGTTGACAACCGTATGGTTGGTGAAGGACTCTGCGGGTCAAAGATGGGGCAGGACCAAACATCTCATAAGGTTGGACTGTTGCTGGCGTAGGGATACAGAGGATCCCATTGCCATCACACCCCACTGCATCCAGTCACCTTATATAAACAGCTCCATCTTCAGCATCTGTTCAATCTCCTGACGATGGACTGAGCACGCAGTCCGAAATGTTGAGTATACTCCCGGTTCTTTTCAGAACCACACATACTCATAAGAGATATATTCCTTAACATGGTGCTACCGCAAGCCTTTCCAAGACTTGATAAGCCGGGAATGGATTGCGAAGTTAACCTCCCTGTATCCTTCCTTAAAAGTGCGTCAGGAAAAATGATGGCAACCTGTGCATGTGCATTGACTACAGGGAGCTGAATAACAAGACAATCGGATCCCAGACAGACAACCAATTCTCCGTATCCAAGATGTCCTGGTTGGTTTAGGAGGGAACTCCTGGTTTTCCACTTTGGATCAGGGTAAAGCCTACCATCAAGGATATGGGGAAGAAAGCAGACCTTTGGCAACATTTGTGACACAATGGAAATTTTACAAGTGGCGCAGAATTCATTTTGGCCTCACTAACACTCCGATGGTGTTTCAACAATGCACAGAGACCTGCCTGGAGGGACTGACAGGAGAAATAGCCACCATCTACCTTGACAACATTCTGGTGTATGGAACACGCTTTGAAAATCACTTAGAAAAAGTTCGTAGATTGCGATTAGCATCAAGCTAAAACTGAGCATGTGTCACTATTCAAGAGAGACGTCTGATACCTTGGCCTCATTGTCTCGGAAGGATACAAAATGGATCCTGCAGATATTAGTGCCACCCAACTGCTGAAACAGAAGATGTCAGGAATGGTTGGAGAGCTGAGGAAATTACTAGGTTTCCTCAGTTACTATATGCGATATATCCAAGATTTCTCTCAAGTAGCAGAACCACTGTATAACCTCCTGATTGTCAACTCAGAGAATCAAAAGAAACTTCATCGAGAAGCCAGTTGACGAGGCAACCTGAAATCAGATAAACAAGGTGGAGGACAGGTCCCATCTAAGCAACCAATCACCTGGACCACTGAACATCAGGAACCCCTGAACTCCATCCTGGATAGCCTGACTAAGTCACCAGTAATGGCATTTCCTGATTTCTCGCTACCCTTCATTGTTTATACAGATGCATCTAAAGAGGGTCTCAGAGCTATCCTCTACCAGCCGCAATAGGGAAAACTGAGAGTCATCAGTTACAGCTCAAGAACCCTTACACCTGCATTCAGGTAAGTTAGAATTTCTAGCCAAGAAGTGGGCAATCTGTGAGAGTTCCATGACTACCTGTACTATGCAAAGCCAATGTTGATATGGATACACTCTCATGATTGCCCCTTGACTTTGAGAAGTACATGGCAGATTGTACCCAGAAGACAACACCAATGGCCATCGATGCTACGAATGGCACGCACCAAGGGTACCGGTATTATGTAACTTAACCTCCATCTGAGACATCACACTGTTGTTTTACCACTCCATTATTTCGCACAAATGGAGCATCTTTGTTTCAAATAGAGTAGGTCTACAATTGTTTTGTTACACAAGGCCTGAATCCTTGGAACAAATTTAATGATAGACAACCACTCAAATGCACGATGCTGTTACAGAACAATGCATTCATTCTGTACCATGGTAAAACTTTCAACCACACCCACGGGCACCTCCATCATTCGGCTTATGTACAATGTACTTCAGGATGGATGCATGGCCATATCATCAGATAAAGACATTTATTTTGATTTTGCTGCATGGAAACACCAACTGTCATTACCCACTGATACCATGGATTATATATACTGAATGTGTCGCCTTAAGTGGAACTGGAATAGAACTGGCTGATCTTTCAGAATTGCAGGTCCTGTGGGCAGTTTGACCTTGCTCTTGTAGAAGAGACCGATAAGTCTAGCCAAAAGACTTAACACGGAGTGAAAACTCAATGAGTGCGTTAAGGTCAGCAATAGTACTTTTTCTTGCAGGTACAGAAGCAATCATTCCTTAACTTTTTGGCAATATAGTATCGAACACCGAAGATAAAATTATCAGTATGTGTTAGTATCATGTCCCATATAATCAACTTCACTAATTCTTTGTCCAGTGTAGATTATTTGAAGCTTTTCTTTCATTTGCACACTAATGGCTCTGTATTTGTCTAATCGTCACTGCATTTGCAATCTGGAATGAGCCAATTAAAGTGATTGTTGATCTCCAAGTTCATCAGAAACCCTTAAAAAATTTAAGTTTGAGCCTTTTTACGCTCTAACTGCAGAACTATGGTTAAAACTGAAAAGATGAGGGTTGAACTGTTTCGGCTGCGAACGTCATTAAACATTTCAAGAAGGATGATCTTATCTGCTCATATTTGAGTGATTTATTTGTGACTTCGAGAAGAAAACCACAAGAAGTTTCTGAGGGTTACATTTCGTGACTTTGTTTTTCTGGACTTATCTTGGAAATTACTGGCATGGCTTGCAAACTAATTTCAAGTTGCCGAGTTCTTTAATCAAAGAATGTGTGAAAAGCAAAAGTATCCTGCCTTTGTTACTGCAGCGCTGAGACACCGACGGCTTTCATGGACTGTACAATATTATTGTCAGTATTACTGCTTGCAAGGTGCAACAAAAATGCCAGTATTTCATTGAATAGACTTTAGATATATGGCATTTTATTAGAGCAGTTGTTTTTAACAAATCATTTTTAATCTTTCAGTCTGAAACTCGATTGAACAACTGTATTAAAATTCAAAATTTACATTGCAATCTACAGCATATTTTTAGTGGCCACTTTAGCCTAAAATGTACCACTCCATTATTCAGCATAAATGAAGTGATGGAAGCATTACCTCCAAAAGAATGGAAGGGTATTGTCTCTATTGCTCCATTTATGCAAAATAATGGAGTGATGTCACAGGTGGAGGTTAATGTACATGTATCATTAAGATTTTTATGTATGTACATGGGTGTGTGTGTACTTGTGAAAGGTGCAGACGGATCTCTTCTATATATTAACACAGCTGCGAATCGAGGTCAGATTGTAAATCGAGGACATCCTCAGTTTGCAATAAGGTGAAACTTGAGGCCGCAGTCAGCATTTATGAGGGTCAGCGAAGTTTCAAGGCATTTGGAAGCTGTCCTCGGTGTACCCATTTAACACGCTGGGTGTTTAAAAACACCCGTTCTAAATGGAAAGTTTTGGCGCATCCCTGGACGGAATAGCGCCCTCTCTAGCTCTCTTACTACCCTGTCCAATCCGGATTGCTGAGCACAATAAACGTCGCCAAGTGCAGGGGACGCATAATCCCAACTAATAGAAAAGCCTCCAAACTGTCCAAATCATCATAGCGTCACCTTGCCATCGCCTGTGGACTCCTGTAGCCGTTCTGAGACGTAGGTTTCTTCTAGTGGAAAATATGGTAAGTAAAAACAATTTAATTTGAAGTAGAATGTTGAGCTCGACCAGATCCTATCTCGGACAGTTTACTACATCATTAAATATATGGCCCCATTGCTGGCTAGTTAAAGCGTGGTTAAAGTATGGCTACTCTCACCCCCCATGTTGTCGATAGGCTAATGTAGATCTTACACGGCTGTTAGAGTGAATGTACCAGTGAAATAGGTACTATATACGTATGCAGTCCGAAAAGCTCAATCACATAATCCAGTTGAACATGTTCCTGCTGCACATTTTTCCAGCCACAAGTGAAGACTTTTCTGTTGTTAGTATGTGGTGGTTCTAGGCCTAATTGTGTTTCAAATGTTTTTTGGGGGGGGGGCTTTGGGTGGATGTGGCTCTTTGGAGCCCGGATACCTGTTTGCCCACCACCACCACCATCATTCCATACCAAATTAAAAGGAGACAGGTGGTTTAATGAAAATAGTGTTCAATTTGTTTTCTTGCCAGCTGGCCTGTCCACCGTAAGTGGAGACGTTTGGACAGTATGGCTGATTCATCCACCGGTTCCAGCAGTAGGCCTATTTCATCTGTTGCTCCAAGTGATGGCACGTCTGACGTCCAGCAGAACTGTGGTGTGACCGAAATGCAAACCAGTGTATGAGGTTGGCTGCAGGAAATGGGACAAAACACTTCTGCTTTTACTACGATGTACCCCAGGCCAAGCTCCCCCGTCATCTCCAGTCATGTCACAAGGAAGAAAGAGAAGTCATCAAGATCGCCTGTGAGCCCAACGCTAGTGTGCGTAAGAAACTTCTGTTGAAAATTCGCAATATAAGTAATCACAGGCACAATTGTCAGGTTCTTTGTGAAGGTCGTGGTGTGCTTGTTGTCGGGTACAGGCGAAATCGCAAGGTACCTCCCCATGCATATGGACCATGCGTATATTGTTATGGCTATTATGTGCGTACCGATTTGTGGCGACACGTGTGCCCTTTGAAGCCAGCACCCACTCCACGGACTGACAGCACCGGTAAGAGGCTCGTGTGGGTGGACGGGTCGCTCACAAGAGTGATTTGTTGAAACCTCCTCCTGTTGGCGTGTCGTTCCAGTTACACCAGGTTCTTAGTCCAATGAAGAGAAATGATGTGGCTTTGGTAGTCAAGAATGACACGTTGATTGTTGAATTAGCCAAGCGTGAATACATAAACCAGGGCACGATGTAGATCAGCATGGCTACATCCGTAACAGGTTTCATGAATTAGGTCGACTCGTCATACAACTCCGAAAGAACACCCAGCAACCAAATGCATCACTCGAATCATTTGTCCATCTGCACCACCTTTCTGATATTGTGAAGGCCGTGCACGATATTGCCGGCTTCAGGGAAGACAAACAGTTGTACGATGTTCCGTCACTAGCGCTGAAGATTGGTTATTCCGTCAAGAAGTGTGCACTCGTCTTGAAAGGAATTGCCCTAGAGTCCGGCCAAAAACACAAAGCGACATGTGCGGAAGAGTTTCTGCAGTTGTGTGAACTGAAGTGGAAAGACCTTGTGTCCACACATGCACACAGAACACTATACCAAGGAAAATGCAACAAAGTCGCCATTCTCCCGACAAATGCGGATGTAGTCCACCTGTCGTTGTTCCTTCATGAAGCTGGCAACCGGGAACTTCAACTCCTCCAGGGTGCTCGGGGCAGACAAATCAGGCCAGTTTGGCAGAAATTGAATGAGGTCAGTCTGTGCTACCTTATCATGTTCAACCGAAGAAGGCAGGGGGAGATTTCAAAGATGAAACTTGAAGATTTCCACAAGCACAGCACCACCAAACTGGAGGGGGAATGCCTGTTGAGTGATTTAGAATGCCAGCTGTGCAAGATGTTCCGTGTTTTCAAAATAGTTGGCAAGAGAGGCAAAACTGTTCCCGTGCTTCTAAGCAATGAGGCAGTAGCATGGTTGAATGCCCTTGTCGCCACGAGACATGAAGCTGGAGTAGCCCAAGACAATGACTTCTTGTGCGCATGGTGTTGTTATGACGGGAGAGGCCACATTCGAGGGAGTCACTGTTTAAGAGCATATGCAGCTAAGGTTGGTCTTGACAATGCATCCAGCATCCGGTCCACCAAACTCTGTAAACATGTAGCAACTGCATCGCAAATTCTTGCATTAAAGGAACATCAGCTTGAAACTCTAGCCAACTACATGGGCCACGATCTGCGGGTACATCGCGAATACTACCAGTTGCCAGATCGTGTACAGCGGGACACCAAACTGTCTTGACTTTTCCCGAGTTTGGAGATGGGCAACCTGTCTTCCCAGCGCGGCAAATCCTTGGACGATCTGCATGTAACTAGAGGTAAGGGCACCTTGTACTCAAACCATGTTTCCCATGTTCCGTCTACCCAACGCTTGACTTCGAACCAAGTCAACCCAACCCAGACTTCCACTTTGTAAGGCATCATACTCTGCCAGAAACATTACCTCTCTTCCTATTCACCCCCCCGGAAGAACAGACCAGTACAAAGAAAGAAAAGAACCAAAAGACACCCGTGCACGTATGTGTGCTTTTACTGATTGATTTCAATTTTTGGGGTTTACTCTCAGAAGGCTTCACCAGTGAAGAGGACAGCAGCGACAGTGTGGAAAGCAGTGACAGCAGTGAAGACTCCTGCAATGAATCCATCGAAAACGGTAAGATTTGGTCTGTCTGTCTCTCTGTCTGTCTGTCTGTCTGTCTGTTGGTCGGTCACCTGGACAGGCTGTCTGCTGAGCTGTCACCTACATTCCTAATGTCCTTTTCTTGCCTCTACGTTAATAGGACAGCTTACTGGTGTTGCTGCTGCATCACGAAGAAGGGAACCCTCTCCACCATCGAGATGAGTGAAGTGCCGTCCCTGGACTACAGCAGAGAAGACAGACGTCCAAGAAGGCCTGCGCAAATTCTTCCAGTTGAGGAAAGTTCCTGGCAAGCTGGACACCGAAGCAGCTTACACTGTGGCGCTGCAGACCTGCACTTTGAGAAACATCAAAGACTTTTGTCGTAACACAATGAAGTTGTAGCCACACCAGCCTTTCTCTTGAGACATCATACCATATTGATGATGACCCAATAGTAGTAGGGCAATAACGCAACCTATTTTTAGTATGTGTTGTATGTGTTGTCCTCGGTGTTATAGGTTGCACTCATATGGACGAGAAGTCCTCCGTCTGATAGTTTGGAAAGTATGCCCTCCATCCGCATTGTTTACATGTATGTGTGTCTGTGTGTATGCATGTATGTATGTAGTGTTTCCTGTGACAGAAATTGGGTTCTATTTTATATTATGCTTGAAAGAAGCCAAACAAGTCCAGAATTGTAGGACTTTGATTTGTATCTCACTAAGACCTCCCAAATCTCTCTGGAGGCAGAAATAGCAGATACCTGGAGTATATACTTTAGAAACATTTAGTAAATTTATTAAGTTTTCAGAAGTAAATGCTAGATTTTAATTGCGTGTTTAACAGAGAGTTGAAATTAAGAAATGCGAGATTATCAAGTTGATTAGACTAATTACTCAAATGTTGTTGGTATTTCAAAATACCATTTTGAAGAGTGTGTAATTTAGTATTCTCTCACTTTCTCTAAACTGTTTGGAAATATGAATTTGTTTTCCTTCGCCACTTTTCTTAGAAAACTTTGTAGAGTTTGACTCTGCATTTTTAAGTTGCTGTGGAGCCTAGTACCTCAGTACGTTGGACCATACTTGGCCCTAGGATGAGTCATCCATTCCAGGAACAGGCAATGGTATGGGTGCCACCAACCTACTTAGGGATCCTGCATAACAAATTTGCATAACGATTTCAAGGATGACTGCATTCTGGGTGCTTGTTGGCAGCCACAGCATGCCGACAGAATCACAGACACTCATCTGGTATCGGCAATTTTCACTATTAAAAGGCTTTGACTTAAACAGGTTAAACAAAAACGTGGAGTTGTCACAATAGTCCACTTACAAGAAGGCTTTTGGCTCAAGAGTTGATACAGAAGGCCCACTCTCCAAACTTTTTCTGTTACTGTTTATTATTTCTGTATTCATAAAGGAGGCCTGCCGCCTGGCATGTGTGTACATTTTTTACGGCCCTCCCAGCTTATCGAACCACAGTCATCAACCCCCCCTCCTGATCCTCCATGCTCAACTGTCGACATACCAATTGCCGAGACATAAAAAAAAAAAAACTAGAAACCAATCAAAATATCAGTTGAACATATTCTTAATTATCATTGGTCGTAAAAGTTGAAGCCAGATACCCCTATTATCAGGTAATTTAAGGAAGTGTTAGTCATTGGCCGGAAACAAAACTCTGCGGTCACAATGACATCAATTATTACCTTCCCTTACTGTGGTTGGCACTTTTGACAAACAGGTAGAGAGGAGACAAACCAGTTAAATTACCAGAGGGCCCCGAATCATTGGGTATTAGTTTTGGCCATGCTGAAATTAATTCCTCAGCCTCGGAATATTTTTCCCAGGCTCGATTTTCTTTCTAGCCTTGGAATGTTTTCTCACACTTTAAGAAACTCAGATTTGCTTTTCTGGGACTCAAAATACTTTCCAAAGAAAGAATGTTTTCTCACACTTTAAAAAACTCAGATTAGTTTTTCTTGGACTCAAAATACTTTCCAAAGACTCAGAATATTCTATCTCAGACCTGGGAATATCTAAAAAAATTCTCCGGCCTCGGAATATTTCTCCCCCCCCCCAACGATATTTTACCCTGCGTCAGAACTTATGTTTCATTGGACTCACAGTATTGTCCACAAGATGCGGAGCTTTCATTGGACTTGGAATACTTTCTCAAGACTCAGACTATTTTATCCCAGCACTCAAGAATATTTTACAGAGCTCAATACATGTACATGTACCTGTATATTTTCTCATACCCTTTTGTTGTTTTCCAGGCCACAGATATTTTTCCCTGACTTAAAAAATGTTTTACCCGACTCCAAATATTTTTGTCAGGACTCAGAATATTTTTCCTGGAGTTTAGAATATTTTTCTCCTAGATTCAAAATATTGGATGCAGGACTCCGTAATATTTAACTGCACTCCAATTAATTATCCCGGCCTCAGAATATTTTCCTGCCCCACAATTATCCCTGTTTTCATATTATTATCCCATACTCAAGAAAAGTTTCACAAGACCTGATATTTTCTGGAAGGATTAATTTTTTTGAGGAATGAATGTGCGCAATAAAAATAATCAGTACGTGGTGGGGCCGGGAAAAATTAAAACCATGCGTGATCCAGGTTTGGATAAAGAAATGCTGAGATGGGGTGGATTAATATTTTTGGCAGATTAAATGCCCACAATAAAATAATCAGCACACGGTGGGGTGGGGCAAAAATAAAACCGCATGGATCCAGGTTTGGATAAAGAAATGCCAAGAGGGAGGATTAATATTTTTGGCGAATTGAATGCCCTGGAATAAAAAAAATAGGTATGCGTTGGGACAGGGAAACAATAAAGCCACGCGTGATCCAGGTTTGGATAAAGAAATGCTGAGATGGGGAGGATTAGTATTTTGGGCGGATTGATTGCCTAGAATAAAAATAATCTGTACGCAGTGGGGCATGGAAAATTTAAACTACCTGTGATCCAGGTTTACATAAATGCTGTTTTGGGAAAGAATATTTTGGTGGGTTGGAAGCCTGGTATCTTTACGCGGTGGGGCAGGGAAAAAAAATAAAACCACACGTGGTCCAGGTTTGTGAATAAAATGAAAAATGCTGAGACAGGCCTTGTTAATCAAAAGATGCAGCCACTAAAAAAGGCAACTGGTCCATTAACTCACAGAAACATACATTTTATACGGTCAGTCAGTTGTCGATCTTTGTTCAAATAAAATGCTTATCAGGGAATTTGTTTGAAAATAGAGTGTCTTTGTTAACGTTTCTAATCCTCTGTCCAAGTTAAAAATGTACATTTTGGGAATAGTTTGTAGCACATGTATCTCCTGCTCACAGGGTGTAGAGGGTGAACAGGTGACTTCGAAAAATGTGCCATGGGGCACCGCGGCAGCTCGCAGCACACCGATTAAAATCTTTTTGACATCATGCCTTAACCACCCGCCAATCTAAAAGGCACCCTCAGCTCTTGACTGTAGCAGGGCCTTACTTCAGTCCAAGCAAGGTGACCATGTCTTTGGTTGAAGATGACACCAATTTCATCGCCATCCTCACCACCTATGATGTGTTCCAGATTCTGGATCCTTCGGCAATCTTCTGTCTGGAGGACGACACCAACCACGCCCGTGCCAGTCAACCGACTGCCCCATGTCTTCAGATACTCTTGCAACGGGGCTCCTATTTGTAGGTTTTCGCTTTAGTGGACCGCTCCCTCTTGTAATCCAGAGCAGCCCCAGTGTATACAATGCGGGGCAACACACATTGTGCATCTCCTCATCGCCTTCCCTTTATCTAGGGCCTTTAGGAAGAGCGTCTACGAGACAACTACATGTACATTGGATCACTGTTATAACAAGGTCCTTGGAACTTTACAAATACTTTGTGTTATCAGTTATTACCTTGTATTATCAATGCTCGTCTAATTGTCTTCGATTATACATGTCTTGCGAGAGTCCATCAGGCTCCCTTAGATGAACATGAGCCACGGCAACCGTTACAGGCAAATGCGACCTAGCCTCCAACATATCTATGGCATGGGCCTCCAGAGCTAATTGAGAGGGTATCACAGACCCAATCCTGAGAGTCTGTCTTCTGGAGCTGCTCTTGCTGCCATTGGTAGGCCCGCCCAGGCCACGGGGAAGTGAGTCCAAGCCTTACCTTGTGATCTCTAATGACTGCTACGGGTCTAAACCTACCGGCATTCGAGACTACGTCACTGGGCACCCAGACAGGAATGAGCAAATAGCGTTTTCCGGGCAGTCTTCCTATCTTTTTCAGTTCTGTCCCCTTGAATTCGCCATCATGATGCAGGCCTACCGCTGCGTCTCTCCAGCCCGCATCCCCAGGCATCCGAACCTAATGATCTTATTTTTCACGCATATGTGAAAATGATCAGTCTTCCGTCACAGTCGGGGCACCGATGACCACTCCGAATTCGGCACACGGCTTATCTTCAATTCGACACAAACATCTTCAACACTCTTCCGCATATTCAGGTGTTATACACTGCCGCTAAAGACAACTTATGCATCTGACTTAGCAAGCCTTCCATTAGGAACTCCTCACTCGATAAAGACTGACACCAACCTTATCTAGGTTACATGAAGTCTTTGTCTCAGTCTCTGACCTATTTCATTTCTTTCCTTCTTATCAAGGTAAATTCCTCGGATATAAAAAGAAAGTTCTCCTGTCTGTCCAGACCTCACTATGGTTGTGGTAGGATCCTGGATGATAATATCGTCTCCGTCATTGAGTAAGTCTTGCGGCTTTCTTGCCTCTTCTTTCGCACTGCCAACCAAAGCCTCGTCAATGGAAAAGGACAAAGAATCATGTAGTTGACCTGCAGACGATCTAAATGGCAGGGTCTGACAATATAGTGGCGGACGCACTCTTCCTGGGATGATAGAGCAGCCTTACATCAATTTTTTCACTTCTTCAAACAACGCTCAACTTCTAATGATCTTTCTGTTTGGCAGCAACGCCATAGCCATGGCCGCATGGGATGTCATCTGCCCACCTTTCAAATTTGTGACGGCAGATTTTAGTATTTTGTTATGTGCTTCGACAGTCAGGGTTTGGCTCCAGCTAATGCTCCTGTGACAAAAATGCCCCCAAATCTCACTTTTCTCTAGTCTTCGTACTGTAAATCTTACCCATTTCCTTCTAGAGACCAGGCATTTTCGTCTAGTAAATCCCTGTTGTCTTTGTAGGCTTTATTTCTAAACAGTTTCTAGTATTTTCCTGCCGGTATTGTGTGTGTACTCTCACGTGTTTGTTTACACGTCAGCTGTACTTAAAATAGCATTATGGTAAAATCCAACATGACTGCCATTTGAGCAGTGGTTAAAACGTTTGAGATTGGTTGAAAGTTGTAAAATTATTTCCGGAAGACTGAGACATGGAAAAGGCAAATTAAATTTGTAGAAAGTTGAGATAAATATTTAGTTAGCTTCTGTAGAGGTAATATTGTCTAATTTGAAGCAACTGAGAAAGTTACTAAAATTTTGATGACTTTTCTGTTAGATATCATCTGGTAAGTCGGTGACTGGATCATAAATATTCATATCTGTGACATCACTGTATCTTGTTCAATGAACATAGCGTTTGTTTACATTCATTTATACCCGGTGAAAGTGAGCATTTTTGGGATTCTTATTAAGTTATTCACAGTTGTAGAACACATTTATCGTTAGGAATGTCTTGAAGATTGATTCCAGCCATTTATGTGATGTTTTCCTGTATGATTTTAGAGAGATTTAGATGAAACTATCGCCATATGAAAAAGTCTTCCGTGACTTTTTACAAAAGTGGGTATAGCCTATTTACTTAGCGCATATTTTGACTTCGTACTGGGCGCGCAACCCATAGGGTGTATATAGGGCAGAATTTTCCTAATTAAGGGATTTGGAATTGGATTTGCTGAATGTTGGCCAGAGGGTACTATTGAACTGTTCATTTCTGATGTGATACGTTGTGCGTTGGGGAGCAGGTAAGCCTGAACGAAGTGGATGTAAGTGAACCAAATACTGGAGAGCCAAGCCACATTGATTTGCTCCTTTATTTGTATAGTGGGGAGCAAGGATAAATAATTTAAGGTTTTAATGGAGGCTCTGCATTGTATGTGCATTGGAGAGCCAAGCTTAACGATTCTTTGGGGGCTCTGCATTGCTTGTGCATTGGGGAGCCAAGCTTAAGGATTTCGTTTTTGTGTGGAGTACACTGTACTGGGGAGCTATCGTATTGAGTTATAAGCAGACAGTAGAGATACAGTGAGTGTTTATAAAGTTTTCTCACAGAACTACTGGGTTCTTGAGAGGAGATTTAGTGGAATTAGGCTGACGAGTCTGTTTTCCCAAGTAGTTTGAAGAAGGCCTGGTGCCTATTTAGTATTTTCAAGGAAGGTCTGGGACCTTAGTGAATTCTTTTTGAAAGCAGAAAGGTTTAAATGATACCTGGTCTGGCTGTACAAGTTGATTAGCCTAGACAGGTTCAAACAATACCTAGTCTTGGTTGTGCCAGTTGAGGAGACAGGTTTACACAATACCTCGTCTCCACTCTGAAAGCAAGTAGACAGGTGTAAACAATACCTTGCTCCGTAATTGTTTTCTACCATACTGTCTGTAAGTTATACTCTTTCCCTTACTCCCCAGGTCTTATCCAAATGCCAGTCAACCCTGGGTTGGAAATAAGTGAGAACCGGATACAGACATTTATCGGATTGTACCAGGAGGTGTTCATACTGAAGTGTAAATACATGTACAGAGTGTAATACCCAGCCCCATTTATTATTGTTGCGGATACAATGAGTTTCTTACAACTTGTTATTGTTCTTATTTGTATCATTGCGGATCTGAGTTGAATACAGTTGTAGTTGGGAACAGTTTTGTTCTGTACAACTGGATTCCTGTCACAATTTATGTAAGCCCCTCTCCTTTTAAGGTGACGCTTCTCGGTAACTTCCGTCATATATTTTGACCCGAACCCACATCGGCCAATGCGAAGTGCTAAACCGGAGAGGCGAAACTCCGGAGG